ACCCATAGAACTTATCCAATAAACAAACATCACTTTATTTTTCAAATTCTTCTTCCAAAATATTTTCTCCAATACATGATTTGGATGCGCTAGTGTTTTTGGTGTCGTCTCAAAATATAAACAAAATTAATTTTGTTCTCACAAAACCTTTCCTCAAAATGAAATGAAAATAAGACCCAATCAAATACTTCGGGACATTAGATTGGTGGTAGACCGAAGATGCTATAGAGAATATTGTTCAATCGTCGTAATCTAAAAGATTGTTCTTATTTTCCATCTTAAAGTCACATTAAATTACTACTCATGTTATAATCATTTACTTACAAAATTAACCGTTAAATAGGATGAAATGTTAGTTGAGAATAAACTTGAATCAAACTTAGAGGGTCTACATTAACTAAAGCCTAACATCGGTGTAATTTCACCTATAACATAGTGTAATAGAAATAAAGGACTTCTGACGTGATTTCTCGGATCCGAATTCAATTACATATAACGCATGTTTTACTTTGACAGTTCAAATGGCAATTGTTGAAGAAGGCTTCTCAAGTTATTTATTTGCACATTGCGCTGAAGAAGCGTGCAATTATTGAAGATTTTCATGAGAAACAAGAGCAGGTTCTCGTTCTCCCCGTTTTTTAAATGTTACATTTAGAGATGCCGCATGAATCTTTTCATCTAATTTGTTATTTTGTCGGGAATAAAAAAAAAAGGTAAAGGAATGGCTACAAAACATAGGATTAGGAGATAATTCAACAGTTATGCATGATGAGGACGAGCCTGATGATGGAGCTGTGCCAATAATATACAATGACGACACTTTTAGAAAGAGGTGACCGTAATTTCATTTTCTAATTATTATATTTCGACTTTCGCAAACTTTAATTTTTTTTAATTTCCCGTTTATTTAAATACAGGTCAGTTCCATCAAGAGCTGCTCTCTCGGTCATTCGTCCAGCTATTGGCAAGCAACAGGCTATTTCAGACAAAGCAAAAGCTGCCATGCAAGGTTACCTCGATCATTTTTTGGGGAATTTGGACATCATTAATTCTAGAGAGGTGAAAATTGAACTGAAAAAAAAAATAATCTGCTTATGTATGTATGTATTTTCTTAATTATTTTGTTGATAATTATTACAACAGGTATGTAAGTTCCTAGAGGTGTCCAAGTTATCGTTTTCACAAGAGTATGGTCCTTATAAGCTGAAAGAAGGTTATATGATGGTTAAGCACTTGGGATTGTTTTCAAAGATAACACAGATGTTCGACGTGTTCTCCATTTTTTAATTGCTTCAGTTTTTGTCGCAACATTGGCAAAAAAGTAGTCTAAATATATTTCTGCTAAAAATAA